AATGTGGCTGCAGCTCGCAGGGTTGCATTAAAAAAGTAGCATTTTTTGGGACCCTCATTAAAGGGTCCCTGAAACTGTTTTTTCACATTACATTTTTTATTTGACCACTATGGGATCAAATCATTGGCACCAGAGTTCAATCGACACACCCATTATTAACGGAGCTACAAGTACCAAAAAAGTACCCTCCTCCTCCGCTCCACCTTTCACCTTTAACTGCCCTCAACTCTTCCTTCGAGCGCTCGGGGCCAAGCTCCGCTTTCACGGCACTTACGTCACGATGTGCGTGAAATCACATTCGCGTATATAGCGCCGCCGATTCGATACCGGCAGTCTGTGATGCGCGTTCCACAGCCAATCAGATCAGCTGGAAAGAACGACGTCAGTGGGGCAGAGCGTGTCCGCTTGGTGTATGGGCAGTTGAAAAGCGTGTTTGGCCGAGTCGCAGCGATCTGGAGAGATTAGCAACTTTAAAGTGTCGTAATAAATTACACTGTTTACGCAGAGAGCTCAAATCGGTCTCTAAATTATTCTTGAGACTTGGTTTACCAGCCCAATGTGTTTGTAAAGAAACGTCAAAACCGTTTCAGGGTCCCTTTAAGTTCTGTGTATGTAGAGAAAATCCCCACTCGGATAGTCGTGGTGCCAAAACACGCAAGCTCACTACTTACAATTCAGCCCTGCCAGATATGATGTTAAGGATGAAATGCCACTAAAGTGGCCACGCAATTAACACAATGATTTTTTTCCTTTAGGATGAATTTATCACAAATGCTCTCCAATTTGTGCCTGTGGCTCAGTATGCATGTGCAGAAAAAAAAATGTTTTCTTTTTTCATGACATACTTCATGGTCCAAGCTATGCAACCTAGTGAGCCGGATGTTTTCCGCTACTACTATGGCATATCTGACAGCTGTACTTCAATAAGAATCCGCAATGGTCAACTGCCTCTGCAGAGATGCCTCCATGGTCCAACTTCAAAGCATTAACTATGGTGTATTGTCTATCTATGGAAAAAAAAAAAGGGGCCACAATGGTGTCTGGTAACATTAAAAAGCTCTGTTATTCATCAGTGTGTGTCTACGTGGCATATTGTTACCCTTCAGTATGAGGTGTCTTTCCTCCATGATCTACGGTCCATGGTACCCAAGGACTGTGTCAGGATTCTTTTTTTTTTACTGATGGCTACAGCACCGACGACAGCAGAGTTCCTTTAGGGGGCAGGGAGTTGGGTCAATGTCTGCATTGTGTTTTGACTTTTCGCTCTTGGGGGAGGCAAATGGGGGCGGGCAAAAGTTTCGGAGAGGCTTCAGTCCCACCGTGCCGCCCCTGATGGTGTTGCAGTACACCAAATGGCTGTAGACTAGAAGCACCTCCGAGCGACGTCCTAATACTGCCTGTGTTTCTTATAACCCAGACATCACTATACACTGTGGCTGCTGTTCCCGTGAACAATCCAGGGCAGTAAAGCTGCTGCTTGAATAATTCTGCATTGCCAAGCGGCTTGTCTAATGATTTGTTAAGAGGACAGTGACAACCACCTTTAACAATGTGTAAAAAACTAGCTGATCAGGAGCAGTTCTATGACAATGATTGTTACTAAAGACAACTCACAAGTGAAGTCGCACTCAATGACAATAACAAAACTACACATCACAGCCAACATTAAATATAACAGCCCATGTTATGCTAAGGATTTCATACATATTTAGTACCCAGCATTGAGATGCCCAGAACTGTATAATATTGAACTCGCACCACAATTTATTTAGTGATAAAAAATACAGGAATGATCCAATGAAAACCAGCTAATTGGTATGAAATAATCTCGTATACAAGACAGAAATGAAAATGTAAAAACATCATACAAATGGGCCATAGGAGAGAGCAGCGAAAATCTAATTTGTGGACATCATAGAAGCAACAAAACTACATACAAGCATAAAATGAAAACATCACATCTTATAATTGTAGAGAAGCCGCCGAACACTGAAGAGGGTCAAACTCTCAGGTGTTCTCTAGTGGGTCTACCCAAAAAGAACGCCGCTCGCACTGAGAGTCCGTGCTTGGCCGTTACTGTCGCCATTGTGTATACTCGCTGTGTGCCTGCTAATAAACGCCATAACAAATTGGTGGAGCTGCTGGGATGTCAGGCGAAGTTCTCTCGGTCGCGCGTCCGCTGTTACACATCGTATTGACACTGGTGCCCATCCACCATTACGGCAACGTCCCTACGGCGTGTCGCCTGCTGAACGTCGGAAAATTAACGAGCAGGTTGATGATATGCTCAGACGCGACGTTATTCGGCCCTCGGACAGTCCATGGGCGTCTCCTGTTGTTCTTGTTGCGAAGAAAGATGGTTCTGTGCGGTTCTGTGTGGACTACAGACGGCTCAATAAGATCACTCGCAAAGATGTTTACCCACTGCCGCGCATCGATGACGCAATTGACAGCCTTCACAGAGCCGAATTTTTTTCTTCTCTCGATCTGCGCTCGGGGTACTGGTAAGACCTTTGGCTGATGACGCTCGACCGAAGACTGCGTTCATCACACCCGACGGCTTGTACGAATTCAACGTCACGCCGCTTGGTCTATGTAATGCACCTGCGACCTTTGAGCGCATGATGGACACCGTTCTGCGCAACTTGAAATGGCACACGTGCTTGTGTTACCTCAATGACGTTGTTGTGTTCGTCCCAGATTTCTCCACGCAACTCCAACGTCTGAAAGAAGTTTTCGCACGTGTGAGCAATGCCGGCTTGCAACTAAATCTGAAGAAGTGCCGCTTTGCAGCACGGCAACTCACCATCCTAGGGTACGTCGTGTCTAAGGATGGCATTCTTCCTGACCCAGCCAAGCTTCGGGCCGTGGCTGAATTCCCCAAACCTGCGTCCGTCAAAGAACTGCGTAGTTTCGTGGGCCTGTGCTCATACTTCCGACGCTTTATACGAAACTTTGCTACGATTATATCACCGCTGACGAAGCTCCTTGGAAGTAACGGGCCCCTCAATTCGTGGTCGTCTGAGTGCGACGACGCGTTCGCGAAGCTCCGCCATTTGCCGACGTCTCCTCCCATTCTACGCCACTACGACCCTATGGCCCCGACGGAGGCAACACAGATGCCAGCAGTGTAGGCCTCGGCACTGTCCTGGCGCAGCACATTCCCGGATTCCCTGAATATGTCATAGCATATGCAAGCCGTACGCTCACAAGAGCCGAGACAAACTACACCGTCACGGGGAAAGAGTGCCTGGCGATCGTCTGGGCCCTCACAAAGTTTCGACCTTATTTGTATGGTCGCCCATTCGATGTCGTCACCGACCATCATGCACTATGCTGGCTTTCATCATTGAAGGATCCTTCAGGCCGTCTCACCCGTTGGGCTATTCGCTTACAAGAGCTACGACATCCGCGTGCTGTACTGCAACGGACGCCAGCAGGCTGACGCCGACGCCCTCTCGCGCTCCCCTCTGCCGAAGGGTGATGTCTCTGCTCAGTATCCTCGGCTGCTGTTTCTGCCATTGATGTTGACATCGTCGCTACTGAACAGCGAAAGGATAATTGGATCGGCCCGCTCATCAACTTGCTCTCTGATCCATCCGCAACGCCATCCACGCGTGCCTTGCGTCGTCAAGCTCGCCATTTCGCCATCCGTGACGGCCTTCTACACTGACGCAATTACGACGCCGATGGCCGGCAGTGGTTACTCGTGATACCCCGCCGTCTGCGGTCAGAGATATGTGAATCCTTCCATTCTGATCTGCAATGCGCGCACTCTGGGGTATTCAAAACCTACCATCGCATTCGACAACGTTACTTCTGGCCCGGGATGTCCCGCTACGTGCAGCAGTTCGTTCGCTCCTGCCTCGCTTGCCAACGCCGCAAACTGTCAGCACACATGTTGCCAGCCAGTCTGCAACAGTTACCTTGCCCTGAGCGTCCGTTTGGGCGCATAGGTATCGATTTGTGTGGACCACTTCCTCTGACGTCGTCTGGTAACCGCTGGGCCATCGTCGCTGTAGATCATTTAACACGATACGCCGAAACCACCGCTATCCCTGCGGCTACTGCGCGTGATGTTGCGTCCTTCCTACTGCATCGATTCATACTGCGCCACGGTCCACCTCAGGAGCTTCTCAGTGATCGAGGCCGTGTTTCTTGTCAGAAGTCGTCGAAGCCATTCTCACGGAGTGCCGTTCTGTCCACCGCAAAACAACTGCTTACCACCCGCAGACGAATGGTCTGACCGAACGCTTTAACTGCACCCTCGGCGACATGCTTCCGATGTACGTCGCCGCCAACCACACGAATTGGGATACTATACTGCCCTTCGTCACCTAGGCCAACAACACCGCCCCTCAGAGACGACCGGTTTTTCACCTTTCTTCTTGCTGTACGGAAGGCACCCGTCACACACCATTGACACAATACTCCCGTACACGCCGGATCCATCTGAGTGTGCACCTATTTCCGAGACAGCCGGGCTTGCTGAAGAGTGTCGCGAGCTGGCCAAGACATTTACGACGCATGAGCAAGAGCAGCAGAAGAGTATTCGTGATGGCTCCGCCACTTCTGAACCCACGTTCCTTCCTGGTTCCCTTGTATGGCTCTCAATCCCGACCTCTGTAGCTGGCCTTTCTTCCAAACTACTCCCGAAATATGAATGTCCCTACCCTGTGATCGAGTGCACATCTCCAGTCAACTATCTTGTCGAGCCAATTGAACAATCTTCGGACATGCGCCGTCGCGGGCGTGGCATAGTCAACGTGGAGCGCCTGAAGGCTTACTATGACCCGCTCGTAGTGACAAGCTGTTAGGTCGCCAGGCGGCTCCCTCTTCGACCCCGGGGTAATTGTAGAGAAGCCGCCGAACACTGAAGTGGGTCAAACTCAAGTGTTCTCTAGTGAGTCTACCCAAAAAGGACGCCGCTCGCGCTGAGAGTCCGTGCTTGGCCGTTACTGTCGCCATTGTGTATACTCGTGTGTGCCTGCTAATAAACGCCATAACATAACAAACAAAGCAACAATGGAGACTGCACAAGTAACAGAAAAGAAAAGGAGACCTAAGAAACGCAGAGTGTCCAATGAAATGCAAAGCTACAAAACCTTTGAGGGCACAAGCTACATTTGTATTGCCGCTCGACCATGTGGACAAGCAGGTGAACAATCAATTCAGATTTATGAAGGAGCTTTGAGTTCAGAGGTAGCATTTTGTACAACCGCTGTCCTGGGTGAATAGGCATATGAACATTCAATGTGCTCTTTACTGAAAAGCTTTGTGGGCACAAGTGGCATTTATACAGCCACTCAGCCGTGTGGACCAGCAGGTGAACATTCAATTTGCCTTTTACTATTTACTAAGATGCTTTCAGGGCACAAGTGACATTTACAGGGCCACTCGCCAGTGTGGATACACATGTAAACATTAAATGTGTTCTTATCTGAGAAGCTTTGGGGGCACAGGCGACATTTAAAGGGCTGCTCGCCCATGTGGTCATGCAGAAAAACAGCTAATTAGCTCTCAGCTGAAAAGCTTTGGGGGCACAAGTGGCATTTATAAGGCCGCTCCCCTGTGTGGATACGCATGTGAACATTGCATGTGCTATTATTTTAAAAGCTTTGAGGATACGTGGCATTTATGTGGTCGCTCGCCCGTGTGGACACGCAGATGAACATTCAACATGCGCTTTCCTGAGAAGCTTCGGGTACATAAATGGAATTACGTGGTCATTTGTTTGAGTGGGTTTGCAGGTGATCATTTAATGTCTTCTTAGCTGAAAAGCTTCGAGGACACAAGTTGCACTTATATGGCCACTCCCCAGTGTGAACACGCATGTGAACATTTAATGTAGATTTGTGACTGAAGCTTTTGTTGCATAAATGGCATTTATAAGACTGTTTGCCTGTGTGGGTGTCCAGATGAGTATTCAAGCTGCTCTTTGCTGAGAAGCTTTGTGGGCACAAGTGGCATTTATATGGCCGCTCGCCTGTGTGGACACGCTGGTGAAGTTTCAATGAGCTACTTTGAGAGAAGCTCTGGGGGCACAAGCGGCATTTGTATGGCCGCTCGCCCGTGTGGACACGCAGGTGAACAGTCAATGCAGATTTTCGGCAGAAGCTTTGCATGCACAAGTGGCATTTAAACGGCCGCTCCCCCGTGTGGACACGCAGGTGATCGGTCAATGTGCTGTTTGCCGAGAAGCTTTTGGGGCACAAGTGGCATTTATGAGGCCGCTCCCCCGTGTGGACACGCAGGTGATCGGTCAATGTGCTGTTTGCAGAGAAGCTTTTGGGGCAAAAGTGGCATTTATGAGGCCGCTCCCCCGTGTGGATACGCATGTGAACACTCAATGCACTCTTATCTGAGAAGCTTTGTGAACACACGCGGCATTTATACGGCCGCTCGCCCGTGTGGACACGCTGGTGAATTTTCAATGAGGTACTTTGAGAGAAGCTTTGGGGGCACAAGTGGCATTTATAAGGCCGCTCACCTGTGTGGATACGCATATGAATGTTCAATGTGCTCTTATGCGAAAAGCTTTGGTGGCAAATGCGGCATTTATATGGCCGTTCGCCCGTGTGGACACGCAAGTGAACATTGAGTGTGCCGTTTTCCGAGAAGCTTTGGGGGCACAAGTGGCACTTATACGGCCGCTCGTTTGTGTGGGTGCGCATGTGAACATTCAATGCGTACTTTGATGGGAAGCTTTTGGTGCACGAATTGCATTTATATGGCCGCTCTCCTGTGTGGGTGCGCACGTGATTATCAAATGAGCGCTTTACTAAAAAGCTTTTAGGGCACAAATGGCACTTATATGGCTGCAGAGACCTGTGGGAGCGCAGGTGAGCATTCAATGTAGATTCTTGATAAAATCTTTTGAGACACAAATGGCATTTATGTGGCCGCTCACTTTTGTGGGTACGCACGTGATCAGTCAATGTGCTCTTTGATGAGAAGCTTTGGGGCACAAATGGCACTTGTACGGGGGACCGCCAGTGTGCACACACAGATGAACATTCAATGCGGGTCCGTGATTAAAGCTTTGCGGGCACATGTGGCATTTATAATATCGCTCGCCTGCGTGAGTGCACAGGTGATATTTCAATTTATCCTTTACTGAGAAGCTTTGGGGGCACAAATGGCATTTGTGTTTCCGCTCGCCCGTGTGGGTGCGCAAGTGTCTCGCTAATGCGGACCTGTGTTTGCAGCTGTGCGGGCACAAGTGGCATTGGTATGGCCGTTCGCCTGTATGAACCCTGACGTGCTGTTTCAGGTGGGTTGAATGATGAGTCACGTAGCCGCAAAAGCTGCAGGTGTGAAGGGTCCCCTGATGCAATCTTTCAGCATCCATAGCTGCTTGATCGATGCAATACCGTGAAGCTGCAAAAAAAAAAAAAAGCAAGCACTTGAAAAGAAACTGCATTTAAATATGAAAGTTTGACATGACAGCAGCATTTCATTGTTATGACTTATGCCGTGCTGAAGAAACCTCAATTTAGAAGCGCCTGGCATTCTCTAATGTGTAGCTGAATACACGCACACAAGTACTTGAGCATTTCACCTCTGTAGCCTTGTTAGTAGCTGTCACTGTAGTTGTCAGCAGTTGTCTGTAGTTATCAGCAACAAAGCACACCTGGTGAGCCTTTATATTATTTGCTCGATATGTCCATACAGGTGACTTTTTAGGTACAGAGAGAAAGAAACTGTTTCCATAACATATAAACTACACTCAAAATAGTCTCTTACACCATTTCCTGTCACCTGAAAGAGGTTCCAGCAAAAGAACCTACTGAAGTATGGAGAGCATATACATAAGCATTATAGAACAAGATTATACTAATACAAGTTGAACCATGTAGTATAGCATGCATTCAATGTAAGTGGAACAGCCGTTCTCTTGATAGTAATGTTCTCATGACATGGTCACCCAACAATTGACGGTTTTCGGCAGAAAACGAAGGTAGAGGGTAACATATTCCAGCGCAAGTGTAAAAATTGGACTGAAAGATTATTTCAGTGCAAAATAAGCCATAGAAGTCATCGGCTGTAAACTCTGCCCACAGACGGCCATCGCCATTTTGTCATGGACGTGCGTGACGTCACAAGCCGAAGGAGTAGTGTCCGTCGTCTGCAACGAAACAGCACGCAGTCAGTGTTGCGAGTGTTGCCGCGTGGTCTGCACGTGTCAGTGGGTTGAAAGTGTTGCATGTGTGTTACCGATACCATCACCATATGCGACGACGTGCACGTTGCGCATTTTGACTTCGACTCCATTGCCACCAGCTCAAGTGAAGAAGAAAGTCTCGAAGACGGTGTGAACCAAGATGCCAACGACTTCACCATTGTGGCAGACGTTGTGAACGGATTTACGCAATGATAAGTAGCTTTATTTGAAGCTTGAGATACGGGGTTCCGTCGACACTGCATTCACGAGCAAGTGTTATTTAGCACCGTGAAATTGGCAAAACGTGCAGATTTTCGTTGGCTAGCCTACATGTATGCACGACTTTTGGTGCTGAACATAATAAATAAGTGGTCGTAGCAATGCTGCACGTTGGGATCATTGTTTTTCCATCAGTTGTTGCGTGCGGCATATGCAAACATAAACCAAAGTGAACAGCATGTCAGTACAGCGCTAGGGCTCCTCACAATATACATTTTGACAGAATCTGTGCTTGAACTCTGTCGGTTGCATTCCGTTCTAATAAAGAAAAAAATTCAAGTGTGAAGCTGAACCATGGCAATGCCTGCAAGGAGTTTCAATAAAAAATATTTATCCTTAGTAACAAACGGCACATGCATTGCACATTCACAGGACACTTTTTGACCTTCGATATTGCTTGCTTCTAGTACCAGCGCTACATGGGTGACGCGGCGCCATTGCGTCAACCTCTGAAAGTCATTTAGTTCTCGTGGCAAGTAGAACAACACAGAAAAAAATTCGACAGACCCCACGTACTTGGGAATCCACGTTATGCGGAGGGAAGCTGACCGTGTTGGAATTTTTTTTATTGAGCGACACGTCAAAAAATGACTAAATTTATGTGCAAATGTTATATTGAACATACACGCACAGATATATGTTCAAGAGCTGCAGATGTTTATATAACCAGTTCTTTGCACTTGCGCAATGGTGTGAACAGAAACATGCGCGTTAGCAACACCAAAAACTGATATGAAGCGCTAATGCTCGCGAAGATACTGGCACCGGACACTGCTACATAAATCACCTTCAGCGCAATTTACCTAACCACAATTGACGTTAACCCGACGTGATAGTGGTATCAAAGGAGTACATGTGTAATGTTTATGAAATTGTGTAGGCAACACTGACCACTATTGATGTTTCACGAAGATTAGCATCTGTATTTGAAAAGTAGTTCCGAGACCTGGCATAGCTCTGTGGTAATATACTTCATTGTCACGCAGAATGTTTGGGTTCGATTCCAGCTGGGACTCTGATATTTATACTTTACATTCGTCGGGTCGACGCTAGCGATGTCAGGTACTTGTTAAGGCTCGTGCGTTTTAAATTTGCCCATGTGTGTTCTCGTCGTTCCTCCGTAGATACTAAGTGTCAGACACCTGTGGCTCATACCCGCATACCAGCGGCACATACCCGCTCGAGGGTATGTGCCACTGACTTAGACGACGTGCGCGCGGATGTAGGCGATGGGATTGTGACATTCATGTCTTGACCAGCGTGTCATATTCTTTAAAGCATTATACCCTCCCAGGCTAATTTTGGTTCACGCCAAGTAAAGGGGGTGACCACGAGAGCACCCAAACGTAAGTGGCTAGATAGATAGATACGCTCAAAGTTGCTGATGTTGCGCTAAGAAATGCTTTGCATTTAAAAGGTGATTGCGAGCGCAGCTCACCACGAAACACGATCGTCCTCCAGAATGCAGACTATGCAGCAGCTCGCCCTGCAAGCGGTTCATGTTGTCAGGGCTAGCGATCGCACCAGTGTTGTCCGACTCTCAGGCCGCTCGCTCGTTTATTAAAATATTCGATTATAAATTAACAGCTCGACAAAATTCGCTCAAACTTCACCAGCTTGTCTGTGAGCGTACAAGAATCAACTCACACAACACAGATTATGGTTGAAAATTGGGTGTTACGACACCTTTACCACTGCATTACTCTTTAGCCATAAAATATTCCTAACACATAAAATGCAGTCACGAACTGCATCGAAATTTCGAGCTCGGTACACTGTCCCCTCTAATTTGTGCTTCACAGTGGCTATTTGTTCCAGAGTACAAAACAGATAAGTATCAGCTATATAAAATAGCTTTGTTCATTACATGTGCCGAAAGAGTGCATATTTCATGAAGCTTTTTGTGAAACCGTAATTTAATGTACATGCTGCCCATCTTTCATCTATCTATTTATACAAATATTTGCCGCACCACAAGGGCATTATTGCAGGGGAGCAATTCAGCAAGAAATAATAGCATAACAAAATATATGTAACTTACATTAAAAGATGAAGATATGAGCAAATTACAATTAAAAAAATACAGCATAGAAAAGTGGCAACACACACAAAGAAATCATTCATCTTGAGTGCACGCAAAATTTCATCAAGAAAAAGAAAAGAAAGGAAACAGCAAAAGCAAAGGAGATGGGTTGTTTACAGCTCATGGGAGATTAAAATGAAACACGATTAGAACTGGGATAATTTTTTACATTTATTTACAATTAGATACACCCTAAGGAAGTTATTACATGCATATTACATACATAAAATGAAAAAACCAAAATTAAGTATACACAAGAAGCCAATTCTGTGTTACATTTTGTGCACATACGGACCGCAGTCGTATCTCACTTTGGCACAATCCGCTTACTGAAGCCCAGATCTTGCCAGAAAGGGTACAGCCAGACTAGCGAAAAAGCCCATACGAGTCATGACACGCACGGCACGACTACAATGTCAGTTTCGATTTCATCAAAACAATGCGACATAACAGTGTTCCTGGCGTACTCCAAGAGCGCCCGAGATCTTATCACTCTCGCTGTGCGGTGACGCCCCTGCCGAGGTGGCCTTTGCAGTATGGTACGAGCATGTGGCATGCCGCTAGCATTGCCGTGCCCTTAAATTAGCAAATGCAGAAGGATATAATGCAAGATGGAGAAAAATTACATGACTTAGATGAGTAAGAACACTCTCTCTCAATATGCTACAATGGAAGGCAAAGTAGAGCCCCTTTCACTTGCACCACTACTCAATTTGTGTTATGTGGTATGAAAATAAGCTAAATGTATCATTACACTACATTTGAAAGCAAACGATTAAGGAAACTCTGATTAGAATGTTTTAGTGCCTTTCATATTGTATTCAATGGTGAATTGAAACACGAACGTTGTCAGCGAATACCTCTGACTACAATGGAATTTGCAGCAGCGGATACATACAGGACCAGTGCATTTTAGGCAATTGGAATTCAAGAGGTTACTGTACATGCCACAATTATTGTTGAAGCAGTGATATGAAACTCCAGTTTGCCATCATCAGAACACAAAATTATTACATTTTGTAATCCGTGTAATGTTGTCGCCAGTCTGCTGTTATTATGTGAACAGTGCAGTAAAAAGCAGCCTATCTCGTTTTGTGTGATGTGAGCCTTCTTGTAGAATGTGGTAACAACTGACCTACAGGGGCCGTGTAACACTTTTTCAAGTAGCCATGGAATGAATTCGCTGAAAGAGAGTATTGTTCCAAAATTCACCTCAGCAAATATTGTTAGAATTCGTCCGGTACAAGTGGAGCTACTAAGATTTGTTGCGCTCTGCAATTGCATTCTTTCTTCTCTCGTCCCAACGAAGGTGCCGGAAGCTAAGCCGAGAAGGACGATACGGGCAAGAAAAATACATCACGCGCACCTCGTAACCTTGAGCACATCTTTCTTTTTCTTTGAATACGTGGCTTTTTCAGCGTGATCGCACACACATGCATCAGATAAGTCACGGCCTCCCGTGGTGATCCTTGTAACTACCGCGTGGCCATGGAACTTGATAGTAGTGTTTGTAGGAGGTGTATGCGCTGAGGCTCGCGTAGACACTGGTGCTGCCGTTTCAACTATTCGTGCTCATTTTCGTTCCTACCTTCGAAAAATGACCACCCCTTACGGTAACCCACCTCTCTGTGCGGCAACCAACGCCATCATCGGTCCACTTGCACAGTGTACGGTTCATGTCTGCACAGAAGGCATTCGTCATCCCATCACTTTTGTGGTATTTCGTGAGTGCGCCCACAAACTCGTTCTGACGTGCATCCTCTTCCATTTCTTGTCATCAGCGCATCCGAATGCCCCGAACACTTCGTCGCTTGAACAAGAAGGGCGATGCCCCTTGTCCCCACTTCAAATTTTGTACTTATATTATTGATCAAAGAGTTTATAAGCGTTAATTCCACCAGCATTGCGGATGGCGATGTACTTGTCTACCTTACAGCCATACCCTATGTAGAGGCGATTACACCAGGGCTTATTGGTTTCTGCGACGAGTATGCCCATCTTACTGCCTTAAATCAAACTCCCGAATATTTACTGCTACCCTGTGCCTTAACAGTCGCTTGCACGGTCAATATTCAGCCTGTTATGATTGTTGCTCTTCTAAGCGACAACTGGAGCGATGTATCAAAGTCAATATCACTGCCACTCAATGCCCCTTCTACACCTCTGTCGGCAATCATAAGCATTGACCTAACACCTGGCCAAACTGAAGATTTGCTCGCCCTGTTGAATTGACAACGTTCTCTATTGGACAAGAACTCGCCCGTCCTCTGCATGACCACCACTGCTACTCACATCATCCAGACTGACGGTTTTCGTGTTGAACATCAGCGTCGCACATCGTGTCTTAGGCAGAATGCAAGATATAGAGGAAAGCATCTCGGACAAGCTATGACAGAACATCACACGTCCTTTCTCGAGTCCCTGGTCATCCCTAGTTGTTCTTGTCCACAAAAAAAGATGAAACAGTTCGTTCGTGTGTCGATTACTGTGCGCTAAACAAAATAACACGCAAAGATGTTTATCCTCTGCCCCAGATCGACGACGCACTGAATTCATAACGCAGTGCAGAGTATTTTTATAGCCTTGACAAGAAGGGCTATAAAACACACAGAAACAACAGAAAGGCATAACACGACATCGGCAACGAAAGAGCATCATAGACGACGAAGACGATGAAAGCGACCGCGCTCGTGTTGTTGTTGCTGCTGTTCTATTTTGGCTGCAGCTGCCTCTGACTCTCCCTGTATATTTTGTAAATATATTTATTTCATTCATTCTCTCACCGCCGTAACAATACTCTGCACCGTGAAAGGCTTTTATAACCAGGCAAGAAATTTCTACCCGAATCTCCAGCAAGGCGGGAGACGGCGAGGCTTTGGCAAGAACTGTGGCAACTGCTGGCGGGGGCCTCACATAGCAGCTGCTGTAGGTGCTGCAAACAAGGCCGTTAGTAATTATACAAAAGTTTTGTCAGTGATTATACAAAATCACTCATTCATTTGGTGGGTGAGTGAGCACTCCTGCTCAAAAAAAAAAAAAAAACGTCACCTCCACCTACTTCGTCACCCTCAAGAATTGATTGATATGTAGGGTTTAACGTCCCAAAACCACCATATGATTATGAGAGACGCCAACCACGAAGAATAGTCAAAACCCAACACACCTTTTACGTCTTCCTGCTCTTCTGAAGGAACGCACTTGTCGTCGGTGTCAAACTCCCTTTTACAAGGCATTCTGGCACTGCTTGTCGAGTCATTTCTTTTTGTGTCCATGTTTTCCTTTGTGTCCATTTGAAAGCACTTGTCGTCAGTGTCAAACCCACCACAAAGATTCCTGGCACCGCTTGTCTCACCTGCATTTCTTTTTGTGTCCATGTTTTCCTTTGTGTCCATTACCTGTAAGATTTGGACAATTGAACTGTTTGAATGACAGTGATAAACAACCTTGTGTCTACAGCTACACACAAGCACAAAGGTTCTGTGAGTGATAATGCCAGGCAGCATAGTCAAGAGGCCTAGAGAGTGCTCCCATTTTCTGGGTTGAACACAAAGGTGACAAGAACACCCCGCCCCCACCTCCCTCAATAAAAAAAACTGGGGAGGGAGGGGAGAGCCGCATCTCTCTTGTCACCCCCAAGAACATTAAAAACACAACATGCAAGTTTCCCGCCTCCCTGCTCCCCCGAAGGAACGCACTTGTCGTTTGTGTCCTACCCACTTAACATGATTCTGGCAGCGCTAGTCTCTCCGTCTTCGTTCGCGCTTGTGTCCATGTTTTTTAGCGTTTTAGAATAGCGCACCGCGACCCCTTGCGGTGCGGTCGCTGCCACTACGCATGCGTCGTAACGCGGGCCGCCTTTCGCGTTCGCGGCCTGCACACAGAAAATCCGAAATAGTGGGCGGCCTGTGCGACCCGCAAACTCTGGTGTCGAGGCATAGCCTCCTCTATAACTTTGTGCCTGAGCGGTTGGTCCCTCAGCGCCGTCCCCCGATTCTCTCGTTTTGCGCCTCGGCGCTCCACCAGGAGCGCTCGCATCCCATAATAGCTCGCGCCGCGCTTGCTGCAGCAGCAGGCACACACCGCTACGCCGTGGTTTTCCTGTCGCGCGCAAATTTGGTTTGCCGTGCTCGATGTAAAACTCTGCTTGGCCCATTGTGTTTTCTGCTTGCCCTTGATCTTTTTTCTGGCACAATAGTCTCTCCCAAGAGCTTCGTTAACTGCAGCGCTCGCTGAGACAACCGTGACTGTATCAAGTGCGATTCGGGTAAGTTCTTTGTTAAAAGTGTTACATCGTTAAGAAATCCGCTTGCTGTAAGGAATCGTGCCTAAACGCTGTATTTTTGTTATCTGCAGCACTACCGTAAAAAGAAAGGCGACTGCCCATACATGGTCAGAAGTTTGGCTGCGCCCCGAACGCTCCACAATGCCGTACCGCTGCGTATCACGCTGCAAATCATGGAGTGGCCGGAAAGAAACCGGAGTATTTTTTCACGAAATTCCGAGCGACCAAGAACTTCGCGAAAAGTGGCTTAAGGTAATCTCGAGAGACAACTGGACCCCGAACAGCACATCTTGCTATTCTACCGTTTGCAGCCGGCACTTCGTCCCGTCCGACTTTAAAGAAAGGTGCACGACGCGAAGACTGAAGAAAGGCTCTGTGCCCAGCGTCTTCTACGAGTACCCGTCGTAATTGCAACCTTGCAAACAAACCGAAAGAAGCGATGCGGTCCTCAGGAAGCGTGCTGCGGCTGTATTAACTGACGAACCAGCAAGAAAAAAAAAAAAAGAGCAGTCGGTGGTGGCGCACCACATGTGTTTACGGACTTACGACATGACCGGTCGTGCACTTCGGACGCCCAACTTGTTGAAGAAGTGCCCAACTCCAGCAGCAGGACTGACCAAAGCTTCGTACCGAGAACGGTGCAGGTGGATAGAGCAGTGCAAGTAGCCTCACGCATTTCGTTGCCAACAATCGAAAGACGGAAGTGGAAGCGTAAGGAACGCGAACTGAGGGCGCAGGTTGAAAGGCTCAAAGGAACTGTTGAAAAATATAAAAGGGAGCTTCAGAAACTGCTATGTCTCAGCGTTTCTGCAGGTTGTCGAGCATGCAAGTGAAAATGAGTTGGCTGCCTCAATACTGCTGGAGCAGGTCAAAAATTTTCAGACGGTGAAATCGACGTGGTCCGAAGTTACAGTCCGCCACGCAGTGATCCTTCGTAACCTCTCAGCGAGGGCATACGAACACTTAAGGAGCTCAGGGCTACTCCGCCTACCCTGTCGAAGCACGCTGGAGCGCTTCCTCGGTTCGTCACGCAATGAAGTAGGCGTCACAGACTTGATTAAGCAGAGGCTGTCAGCTGAGCTCGCTTCACACACGAGTGCTCAGTCACAGACGTGCTCACTCATTGTGGACGAAATGAGGGTCAAGCAGCGCTTACTCTATCTCAAGCAGAGAGATGCCTTCGTTGGCGAAGTAGACTACGGCGACTGCTTGCCGCAGAAGCAACCGGGCAAGCCAGAAGAGCCAGTTCTTGCAAACTCGTTGCTTTGCTTCATTTTAAGTGGCTTGTCAACCAGATATAAGATTCCCGTAGCCTATTTTTTTACTAGAAATTGCACCGGTGAAAACCTTCACCAGATCATGATGAACGTACTCAAAGAAGTTGAGAGTATAGGCTTTAGAATCGTGCGGATCGTTACCGACAACCATCGGATTAACATGAAGGCGTTCCAACTGCTATGTGGGGGTAACCTCAAGCACTGCATACCACATCCGACAAATCAAGATGGCAAGCTTTTTCTCGCTTTTGATCAGTGCCATTTAATTAAAAACGTACGGTCACAGTTTCTGTCACGCGATATCGGAAAGGATGGCGAAATAACCGCCCAGTACCTGAAAGACCTCTACAAAATGCCACAGCGCAGTATTGTCAAGCCAGTGCGGTTCTTGACAAGAAAGCACGTACATCCGACTAGCATGGAAAAAATGAATGTCAGGAGGGCAGTGCAAGTCATTTCGCCACCTGTGACCGCGGCCCTGAAGCTCTTGAAAGAGCAGGCAGGTCATACATGTGTCACAAGCTTCGCCCACGTTGGTCCAACCGTCGTATTCATGAACACCATGTACCGGTGGTTCACCCTCATGGATGTAAGCAACTGAACCCAGCATGTCCACCAGAACAACCCGGACTGCAAGCAGTACGAATCCGAAGACGACGAACGGCTAGGTTGGCTTGAAACATCATTTCTTGACTACCTGGCCGAAATCAAGCGGCAGAGTCCGGCTAAGAATTTTCTGACGAAGGAAACGTACGAGGGCTTGCTGATAACAACCATCTCAAACGTGAAGTGCGTTCGGTACCTTCTCACGGCCACACACTTCCGTTTCGTTCTGACTAGGAAGATGTCCTCTGACCCAATAGAGGCCTTCTTTGGGTGGTTGAGGAAATCTGCAGGCTCGAACGACCAGACAGACGTGAGGGCAGTTTTGTCTGGGATTGAGAAAGCACTGAAGACTGGTATAGCCTGCACGTCCAGCAGCAGCAACGTCATTACTGCAGACAGCAGCAGCTGCTCCTCATCAGCACTCCTACAGCGATCGGCAAGAGCAGCGCAGAATGACGGTGAAGCATTTCCAGCAGAAACAACCACGACCCTCGAGGAGAGCCTCGATAGGGGGAAGACGTTGCTCCCAACGCCAGATGTTGCTGCACTAGCAATGGTTGGTGGCTATATTGCAAGAACAGTCCACGAAACCATTTCCTGTGATGAATGCTTCACTCCGGTGACTAAACCAAACACCTCTGCGCCATCGGATGCCTTAATTAAGCACCAGGACAGAGGTGGACTCCTCTATCCGTCAACTGAGATCGTAATGGTTCTCAATTCTCTAACGAATTACGCGGAAGTTTTCCTCGCAAGAGCGAGAAAGATGAACCAGCCACTGAAGGCTGCCGTTGACAACGCCGCGGAAATACTACAGAAACGTGACAAACTCAAGTGCTCGACCCCGGGACACCATGAAAAACTTTTGGAGGTTGTGCTCGTGAAGTTTCTCCGCCCACTTTTTCTGAAATTCACGACGAGTGTGACTGACAAACACGACTTGGCGAAAGATTTTCATGTCAAACCATTGTCTCGAAAAGTGCTCAAGCTTTGAGCGCGATATCAAATAAAAAAGCTTGCATTGCATTCTGCATACAGTGCTTGTGTTAAAAAATTTATGTGTGCGCACTTCTTAACGTATATGCATAATCCAATGCAATGTAGACGGTTTCTAGACCGTCATAAACGCAAGCGTGCATAGGCCGCGTCGTCTGCTGTTATTATGGGGTCGGTGCGGCTTCTGGCGGCAAGCGCCAAAACTATGAGGGACGGATGGCGCGTATGTATTTAGCGCTAATGCGCGGGCACAAAAGTTATATAGGAGGCTATGGTCGAGGCTTCGGTGCCGCTGCGATAGTGCGTTGCGGCTTGCACGAGGGCAAACGCTATTCTAAAACTCACATGGCGCCAGCTATGCCCGCAGCGCCAGCAAACGTTATTTATAAAGCTCCCTATTAACTACGAAACATCAACAAAGAGCACTTACGAAAGGTTAAGTACTCTTCACTCAGCGTTGCAACGAAGTTCTTAGAGCGAACCAGTCAACTTGGCCCACGGTACAGGCGTAACGCGTTACTGCCGCAACTTGGCGAAGAGGCGCTAAACACGTTTTGAAACGCTAAGACGCGAGCGACCAATACAATCATTCAAGCTGCAGTTGAATCTCAACCTCCCCCTTCAATGCGTCCCACGGTAGTGCCGCAGAACACCATTGTCCGCGTCCCTCTCGGCCTGTGAGAGACTGAGAGCGCTCATTCTCTTTCAAGCGCCGTGGTCAGCGCTGACCACGACCTACTGTACTCCTGACCTGCCCAGCTGGCGGCGGTCTACGAAGCTGCCTGCGCCGGCTTGGATTCCGAACTTCGCCGCCTAGGGGAGCTCGAGTTACCCCAGCTGAGCGCTGGTGAATGCATGGGTTGCCACCGGTTAGAGAAGAGTTTCGTCACGCATTAAGTATATGTGGCGGCTATCTTGAATCATTTTAATTCACGTGACTTTGAGAATCTTCTTTTGCACTTTAGTTGACATTTCAGTGCATTATTTTTCAAATAGAATCGCAAATCAGGTACAAACACATGTATCAGCGTGCAAAACAAGAAATAATAACGACGTAGACAGGTTGTAAAAAGCGGCGCTGGCCACCAAATGCTTATTTAACTCATAATACCAGCTATATGTGTATACAATGGTAGACTTGTTGCCGTCGGATTAAACTCAGCCGGCTTGAATTTACTGTCTGTGGAAGAAAGGGCGAGGACTACGACAGTTGGCAGTGTCCGCGGCAACCGGCGCGCATAGAAAACAACCCAATATAGATAATTTTGCGCATAAATACCTTCGTCTCGGATGGCAAATGTAGATCTCAGGTACATGAATAATCAATGAAAGACACTCTGCAACTGTTTTGAAACGAAACAGCACTTAAAATAACTTATTCAACGCTAATTCTTCACACAATGGGTGTGTTTCGAAACCTAGTTGCGTAACCACATGTAGTGACATGGTTTCCATATGTGCACTCATGTCATCTTTCCTTTTTGCTAATGAACAGTTGTGAGTATAGCGCGTAGTCGTTTACTTTCTTGAGGTTGTCGGTTTATTATTATTTTTTTTGCGCTAATATACGTTTCAGTCTGTCATGCACCACCAACCCGCCCAGCAACTCACTCATTTAGAGACACATAGTCCTTTACAACACAGAAATCACCTCCATCTATTTTTCACGGACCTCGGTCACTGAAAACTCGTGAAAAGTCCCATCAGGAGTCTTCCCTAGCCTTGATTCGCAGTAAGGCACGCAGCACACTATCATCGTGACGGTTACTTTGCACCAAGAAACCTCGCTTCGCTGGTGTACAAACTGCACCGACCTGCACGCTTCTGTCGCAGCTCGGCACGAGCAGACGGTAGCAAAAGATCGTCATTATACTTTTAAGTTCATTCAAAATGAGGCTTTTATTCATTTTAATCGTCTCGAGTAGGTCGAGCCACAGACCACGACCTACTGTATTCTACTGACCTGCCCAGCGAGCGAAGCGCCAGCACGCCCTTTCTGGTATTGGCGCTTGCCGCTATGCGTCTTGTAGCGCTGCAACTTACCTCATCCGCACCGGTTGCTGGCGTGTAAAACAAGGGTCACCGCACTTTTTTTTGTTTGTTTGTTGTCTGCTCGCGCGACGTTGGGAAAAAAGCAGAAATGTTTAGGTGGGCATACACTCTGGACAATTAAAATGAATAAAAGCATCTTTTCGAATAAACTTCAAAGTACAATGACGATCTTTTGCTACCGTCTGCTTGTGCCGAGCTGCGACAGAAGCGTGCAGGTAGGTGCAGTCAACGCCTCCTCTAGAAAGATGCCTGAGAAATGGCTTGCGCTACCAGCGGAGTTGGCCTGCCTTCAGTTTTAAACAAGCTCTGCGCGGTGGCGCTCGCGACCGACACTAATATCACGGCGACGGGCAGTATCAGCAGAGAGGACTCTGGTATCAGCTAAGCGTTTTTCATCTGCGGCCCATAGGAGCGCCTCAGTCGAGAGTTGTTCAAGATCTGCAACTGTGCATCACTATTTCGGAGGCTATGCAAAGTGTCGCGTTGTTGCACCGTCCGCCACAGGTGACGCTAGCGACCGAGAACATTTTCAAATTGAAGGAGGGAAAGGGTGTGGCAGCTGTTTTTTTTCTCATGCGGCAGGCATCTTCCTAGAGGAGCCGTTGGTGCAATTTGTACACCATCGAAGCGAGGTTTCTTGGTGCAAATTAACCATCACGATGGTGGTGTGCTGCGTGCTTTTCTGCCAATCAAGGCAAGAAAACACTCCTGATGTGACTTTTCCTGAGTTTCCAGTGACCGAGGTCCGTGAAAAATGGATCTAGGGGATTTTCATGTTGTAAAAGACTACGTGTCTCTAAAAGAGTGAGTTGCTGGGCTGGTTGGTGGTGCATGACCGACAGAAACGCATATTAACGAAAAAAAAAAAACGACAACCTCAAGAAAGTAAACAACGACGCGCTATACTCACAACTGTTCATTATCAAATAAAAGGAAAGATGACAAGAGTGCACATATTAAATTACTTTGTGTTTGAAAAACCATAAGCATTTTACTTAAGATCCTGCCGCCCGGTTCTTGGCCGATCCCCCTTTGTGGATGTGCGCCTGATTAACAAGGACCATCATCATCATCATCATATGGAAACCATGTCACTACATGTGGTTATGCAACTAGTTTTTGAAACACACACACTGTGCAAAGAGTTAGTGTTGAATAAGTGATTTTCCATGCTGGTTCGTTTCAAAACAGCTTCAGAGTGTCTTTCTTTGATTATTCATGTACCTGCGATCTACATTTGCCATTTGAGACGAAAGTATTTATGCGCGAAATTGTCTGTATTGGGTTGCTTTCTATGCGCGCTGTATGCCGCGGCCACTGTCAAACGTCATAGTATTTGCCCTTTCTTGTCCAGACAGTAAATTCAATCCAGCATAGTGTGCGACAACAAGTCTATCATTGTATACACGTATAGCCGGTATCATATGTTAAATAAACATTTGGTGGGCTAGCACTTTTTACAACCTGTCTCTGTCATCATTATTTCTTGTTTTGCACGCTGATACGTGTGTTTGTATCTGATTTGCGGTTCTATTTGAAAAGTAATACACTAAAATGCCAACTAAAATGCAAAAGAAGATTCTCAAAGTCACATGAAATAAAATGATTCAAGAAACCCGCCACATTTACTCAATGCGTGATGAAACTCTACTCGAACCGGCGGCAACCCATGCATTTCCATGCATCCACCGGCGCTCAGCTGGGTAGGGAGCGCTTATAGGCAACAAAAATAACGTAAAAAGTTTTTAAAAAGCGTAAACGCACTTATAATTAACCCTACGTAAGTGACGCCGTCTTTTAGAAGATAACTCCTTCAATACAAGGCGCAACCTTCGAAATTAAAAGCAAACACCAAAATTGCCGATTTCACAGGCCAAGTACAAAGACCCTCATTTCTGCGTAGGTAGCGCTGCCATAGATGACGGGCGTTTCGCGCTCATTCGGCAGGCAAGAGAAAACACTGGCATGCACCGAGCTTCTTATTCACGCCTTCAGGTGTCGCCCCTGTCAAAACGGTGACAGCGCACTGCCGGCGGCGGCAAACAAAGCAAAATCGAAGCCTCTTTTGACGATCTTATTTGCAAGTCTTAAGGGATATACGCATAAAAAACGTCTCTTCGTTTAATTTTGGGCATTAATAGGCTTGAATAGTGCGAACGCGTAGAAGATTGGGAAGTGACCCACACTAGCTGGCAGCGCGAAGCCGAAAACGAACAGTCGCACCACCCTGCTCTTGAAAGACACGCGGATACATTGATATTGGTTACTGAAAGTTTGCCGAATACTGTCAACGAGGTGTTACGACAGCTTCAGCTAAATAAGTGCAGGAACGTTAGCGGCACATCTTTACTTACTGAAGCGAAGGTTTAGTGGAGTGCGATGTATACATCAGCCAGCGCTGGACAGCTTTTGTGCTCCAGGAATACCTGCGTTGGGGCTATGAGAAGTACCTACCTCGTTTGCACGTGAACACTGATGCTGGACGCATGCATATTGTTCACTGCTGTTCATGCTGAAACCTCACTTGCGTTGCCTTCATTTATGTAAACGTCGATTGACTCGCAATAAAACAATTTATTGCTGCAAGTTTGTGTGATCAACGTTGTCCTTTCGCTCGGCCTGTATGCGGCATCACTCACTCACTAAAGTATGTATTCAAGATACTTGTGAGCTTCTAGTAAGTGGTGTAATGAATCGTACTCTATGGAAACAAGATAAATTGAGAGCGGGAGCTGCTGCAACGAGCAGGGGTCAGCCACGATTGACGCAGAAGTGTCGACGACGTTGTCGTCTGCTATGCGGCAGCCCTGCCGCCATATCGAAACGACCCGGTGGTTTTTAAACCTGTTTCATTTTATACGCAGCTATAAATTATACGAGCAATATTATTAGTTATTATTTGTTCAAGGAAGCTATTTGAGTGCAGAAGATAATAAAAACTTTTTCATTTATTAGTAAAAGTGTAACTCTCCTAATTTTCCAGTCTTTTTAAGACTACCGCCAGAACTAAGACGGCGCTCAGAGTTATTCGATAATAACTCTGGACAGCGCTGTCATCGCGTCCAATTTTCGGCCCCATTGGCTCTGCCAAGCCGTCGAAATTGGGTCGACGTGTTTGTTTTGGTAATGGTTGATGCTGTGCATTTTAAAATGAATTGATATTGGAAAATGTTTTCAAATGACGAAACAAGCGGGCCCTTCGTTACCGTTCGTAGAAACTTAATGATATTGTAATGCACAGATCGGTACATTACATCCGAAAAATTCTTCAGTGTCTGCCACAAAGAAAGGTGGCAAGCCCTCACCGCAGTCCACGTGAAACGAAACCGCCATTATCGGCGGTTGCGAACAGGGCGAATGGAACAATTTTTTTTTTTCGCTGCAATGGCAGCATTTCAAAACCACCTTAATTCGGGTATGCCGAAGGAGGAAATATTTGTAGTGCAATGAAACACAATCTTATTAAATGCTTATTTGGAGTGCTTTTCCTGATTAACTGGAAGTGACTGAATGATGAAATTGGGTGCGTTTGGGACTCCAAAGCACAATTTTTTTCCGTTAGGAGACAGAGGGCCGAGATGAACTGCCGAGCATTGGCAAGAGCACAAAAAAAAAAAAAAAGACGAAAAAAGTAGAACTTTATACATCTGTAACATAGCACCAGATTACTGAGGAATGATAACCAGCAA